CCTTGACTTCAGTAAAAACCGGAGATGGCGTAAACATCACCGTGGCGTCAGGTTGCGCCACACATGAAAGGCTAATAGAAACTGAAGCTTCCGGAGGCAAGGTGATGTAGTCGTCAGCGATGAGTTTGCAGAGCAGAGGAGAACGGTCGGGCGATGAAAATTCACATGTTGGCACAAGGGACACTTCTGGACGTGAACAATCGATGATAGCTTCATGACGTGATAAGAAATCCCAACCCAGGATAAGGTCATGAGAGCAAGATGGCAGAACAAAAAATTGGACGATGTACAAAACGTCTTGGATGACGACGCGCGCCGTACACACAGCCGAGGAATGAATGTGTTGCGCACTAGCCATGGACAGCACCGTGTCACAGAAAGATGTGGTCACTTTCTTCAGTTTCCGACAAAATTTTGCGTTCATCACAGAAAAGGCGGCCCCGGTATCAATTAACGCTAGTGTGATGACTCCCAACATCGACATCAATAATATTTTGCGGCGAAAATGGAGGCCTTGAGAATTGCGCAGAAGTTGCAGTTCTTGCCTCCAAAACTGCACTGATTAGTTTCCCTCCTCAGGAGGTGGTCGACGACGCATAGGTGATAGCGATCGGTGACGAGGGGATGGGAAACGAGCAGTCGATGGGCGGCGATCTGAGTCAGAGTGCCTCTGCTCATATGTAGACATGGTGGCCTGCTGTGACGCATAGGTAGAAGTTCCAAAGGAGGCGTGCGCAGGTGTGGGATGGCGGCGGCAGAAGCGTGCAATGTGGCCAGCGATGCCACACGCGAAGCTGATAGGACGATTGTCTAGGGTGCGCCACTCATTAGATGGACAGAAAAAGCGAGGTGGGGGCCTGTAAACTGGAGGAGAGGCCGGAGGAGGTAGAGCCGATAAGGCGACTGGATGCGGTGGGTTTCGCGCGAGCGACCACAGCTGCATAGCTGAGAGGTGAAGGTGGCGCAGGTGGTGCGTAGCCGGCAGTTGAGAGATCAGATGGTACCGAAGTGGATGGGTAAGGGGCCTGCACTGTAGGGAGGACATCACAAATTTCAGTGCGTATGGCCTGCTGCAGTGTCGAAGGCAGGCTTGTGGTGGGCGCGTCACTATGCGGCAGCAGGGAGAGCTGTCGGGTGACTTCCTCCCCGATAAAGTCTTTAACCTGGTTCGACAGAGTTCCTTGGCGAACGTTGCCATTTGCGAGTGCGACGGCCGAGATCGAATCTGGTGATGGGACACTCTGTCGGGTGATGGAACGCTGACGGCGCAATTCAACGAAGCTCTGGCACAGGCTTACGAAGACTGCCACCGTGGTCGGGCTTTTCGCCAGCAACATCTCGAATGCGCCATTCTCGATGCCCTTGAGAAGCTGTCGAATTTTTCCCTTCTTCAGGCATAGATGGGTTAACACGCCTGCAGAGGTCGAGCACATCTTCAATATAACTAGTAAACGTCTGGCCATGCTGCTGGGCTCGGTGGTGTAGACGCTGGTTAGCGCGTAGCTTGTGGACCTCTGGTCGGCCGAACACTTCAGTCACGAGGGTGTTAAAGGTGGACCAGTTGGCGATGGCGGTTTCGCGGTTGGTAAACCATAGCTTAGCGACGTCAGCCAAGTAAAAGATAACATAGGCGAGCTTAGAGTCGTCATCCCACTTGTTGCTGGCGCTTACCAGTTTGTACAAGGAGAGCCAGTCTTCAACGTCTTGCTCACCACTGCCACTTAAGATTGGTGGGTCCCGCTGACGGGCAGCACCGGGGCAGGTAGATGGGGCAGCCGATGGTGCTGGCTGTGCTGAGACGGGCTGGTTGGCGACTGCATGAATCATGTTGTGCGGTGATCTTTCGGCCAACTTGCGAGAGCGGAGCTTCAGGTCTGCTTGGGGATCTCAGCAGCCTCCACCAAATGTGATGATGTTTATTCAAACAGAGAAGTCGCAACTAGGCCGCAATGAAAAATGGCCGTACAGCAAGTCTGGCAAAGGCGGCACACGTTGTTGCGCAATCAGGGCGCAGGGTCTTTCGTTCTCTTCCGAAGGCGCATAAGCGTTGGTGCATATGCTCCACTACAACAGTAGTGATTTGGTAAAATAATTTCAAATCGAATTGTTCCAATAGTGTTATCATAAGTAATTAAAGCGACCCTGTCAAACTTTCCCAGAAAAACATCGAATAGCTTCATTAAAAGAGTTTATTGTATCATGATTCGGCCACTGCAAATGTTTTTATAAAAACCGCCAACTACATGCAGAATTACAGATTTGTTGCAAGTTGTAAATATTTTCTCTCTTCTCTCATCCCGAGCAACGTGGAGCCTGACCAGGGAGAGATAGCATAGGGGAAAGAAGTTACCTCATACGTGTGTCATGACCTCGAGCACTTTATTTTTTTTCTTCGAATATGCAGCTTACTTTTGTATGATCACAAACCCGTGTTAGAGCACATGATGGTTTCTTGAGGGTGGCCGCCAAAACTATGCAGCTTACAATGGCCAAATCAGTCAATGGTCGTGAATTCGATTATATGGCGCGGTGAACTTGGTATGTGGCATCATTTGCAGAGAGAGAAAAGGGAATGATTTTGAGTCGACTTTGAGCCTTGACTGAGACTTCCAGGTTGTGTGCTGCTCTGTATTGTTTCGCCGACATGTTTTCAGGAGCCTCGGCAACTAATTGGCTTTGTTTTCTAATCATGCTGAAAATGTGTTCCAGGCCCCTTTAAGAAAAATTAGTATTTTTGCAATGGCCTGTTCAACTTGCACAATATTTTTGAGCATTGGAACGAGGCATGTGTGAATGTCACTTTTTTTATTCGAAATGAAGTGGAAGAAAGTGGACAGTAGCAGGATTTCTATAGCAGTTGGGTCCAAGTTAAAATTGGTACTATATGCCAGGTTTTAAAACTTATAGTAGTTAGCACATATAAGCCCACATAACATGCCTTTAAACTTAAATAATTAATTTAGCCTTGAAGCGTGGCTTCGCGATGGTGCAGATTCCTGGATGAGTATTTTCACAACATAGCACTTCTAAGCTGCAGTGAAACCAGCTTTACAAAACGCTAGCGCTCACTTACACATAAGTAAATTTCGAATAACCTAAATTTGTGTTGAAGCAAATTCAAGTACTGTCGAAGCAAAGACAAATATTCACCCATACCTACTTGTTATGAAACGCTCATTGGGCTAGTGCTGTAATTGTGGCCTACAGCTGTTCACGACAGCAGTAGGATGGTAAGACTGTCTTTACTCATTCTAACGTTAGCAATATCTATTTGACATTTTTTGCTGTTCTCATGTTACTGGGATTCCAGAACTGCTAATGTACCGTAGAAGATCAATACTTTCTTAAATTAGCGATTTTACGAGAATAGCTGCATCTATTAAGCAGCCAAACGACACCCAGGAAGCTGGTGAGCTTGCCAAACACAGGAAATACAGCTGTATTTCCGTCATTCACAACAGCAACACTGGCGGCACAATACATATGGATTATGTATAAAAAATTTAGCAAAACATTGCATGGCATCTCAATTATCAGCTGCAATGATGCATTAGCCTTTGCACCTAAAACCAAAGGTGCAGGAAGTTTGTAACTAAGACACACAATTGCCATGAGACTGTTCCATGAGCAAACATAGATGACCAACACAGCCTGCCATTGCTTGGCTACCATTTCATTCAATAACAATGCTAGAGTCAAATGTATTAGAGCATCTGTGCAAGCTCAGTCATCATCAACCCTTAAACTTTTTTGAAGGCACTATACAAAAACTTAACAAGTTTCCTATCAAATTATTATTTTGTTATGGTAGAAGCAACATGCACAATACTGTGGTAACTAATGACACCTCTACTTATGGGAAAACTAGAGAAGCATCAAGTGTTTCCAACTTGTCCCATGTAGTTAAAGGGACCGACAACTGCCCAGAACATGAAATGACATGACTGCACGGATAGAAAGATTGTCTCTCATAGTGACTCAAACCAACCCTATTTTTTCTCATGGGAAGTAAAATAATATTTTTATTTCTTCATTGAATACCACGAAAATAGCCTGCAGTGCCACCTGGTGTCAGAAACTTCAGTTATCTGAGCTGTTATGTCACGTGATCGTAAACCAGAGTTTGCAGTCAACAATTTTCCTGTTAGTATTGAAATATTGTTTGCTTTTTTATAGTAAAATGTACTTATATTAGTTATTAGTAAGCAATAAAGTGGTGCTGCCTTAGCATGACATAATGATCCCGTGCTCGTCAGCGAGTCTTGAGCAACTTTTCTAAGTGCTCATGAAACCGTGCACGCAGTTTCCAGGTCATTAGGTTTTTAGAGCGACGTGGTTTTTTTACCTACACTTTGTCTCAGAAATGACGCACACGTTTCTGGTGACTTGACTTGGCTCGTGTGTCAAAAGAGTAAAGAGTAATGATGACGGGACAAGCCATCCTCTACACAGGCACAGGCGCATGCAATGCAGTACAAATACAGGGCAGTTGTATAAAGCCACATCGTCTCATTGTAACAGCGGCTTGTTATTTTCAAAAAGAGTTGTAAAGCTCAGAATAAACGTGGTTAAGCATAGCTACAGGAACTCCTGCGAAAGCAGAACAATGACAGCATGCACGAGTCACTAAAATGGCTACCAGCATCGCTATCAATTCTCAGCTTTGCTGGGCAAAAAGGCATGCCGGTGTTCTGAGCCTTTCAAATCGAAAAATACTGCTTATAAAACAACTACGTGCTGTTGCGAGTAACTACTACAGCTGCAAACACGGCGAAAAGTAAGCTTTTGATCGCGCCGGAAAAAACTGGGTCGAAAAGAATCAGTCGGTTCCTTTAAGTAGTAAGCATGTGTACGCGCTACTCCACATTTTAATAAAATCAAGCTGGTAATGCAACTCCACGTGCTGATGTGGATTAGATAAGTGGGGCTTTTGTAGCACGCCTGTCCAGACAGGAAGTGCATAGCTTTGGGCTTGAAAACTAAAGGCTTAAGTAACCCACCTTTGTACGATGCTGCAGCTCAGCCTGAAGTGCCTTTTGGTCAGGGCTTATGGTAGGGGACTGGGCCTTACGCTGCAGACACTCATGCATTTCTTGCAGTGATGCACGGAGATTCTTGTTATCCCGTTCCAGTGCTAACTTCTCTGTCTCTAAACGCTCTCGTCGGCCCCATTCAGCAGCATTTTCACCTTGCAGCTGTACCAGCTGACAAAATGAACAGTAAGGCAATGAGACATCCCATACTTGCTGTGACATTTTGATCTCTGGGTTATGCAAAAATACCTCGGCAGTTTGTCATCATACATAACCAATTATGCTAAAATACAAGAAAAAAAAGAACCTTCCTGTTAGCACCGGTACAGACAGACATGTCTAGGGCATATAACCAGAATGCCAATATTTTTAAAATTCCGCCCATGAGATACACAGTAAGGCAGATCATAATAATGTCCTGACAATACATTGCCTTTTATAAACACATGTGTTGGAGGCACCTTACTATGGCCAGCCACTTGTGCAACATCAGTACTAGTTGAAACGTCAGCTTGACACAATCCCTGTCTACAGATTTTTTTTCATCGCGAGCTTCCATCTTCCCTCTCCTGGCATTTTTTTTACTTATGAAACTTGTATTTATATTCATACATTTAGTGTCCCTTTAGAAGTGCCTAAAATTTTTATTAAACGCCAATAATTGCAGAATTTCTGCCTGATTTGATTGCATATGAATGACTGCATTGTATCAGCTGCTAAAAAAAAACGTAATGTCTTTACAAGTGGAGAAACCAATGCCTTAGTAGATCATCAGAACTATTTCATTATCATTTTCTGTTCATTGTTCGCTTATATTTTCTGGTGTCACACTAATTAAGAAAACACAAAGACCACTCCTTTCACTCTAACCCTGTGTACACATGCTACCACGCAAAATGGCTGGCAAGTAGGCGTGTGAGAATACTCGAAATTTTTAAAAGTTCATCAAATATTGCATACATCATTCTGTACTCGATTTGATAGCCATATATTCAAAAAGTTCTAACATTCGAGTTACTTCGAATGTTTGAACTTTTTGATTATTCTGTCACATTATGTAATTGTTAAGAACTTTTAAGTTTGCCCCTTTACGATAAGTGCATCAACTGTAGACAATGCAGTGATTACCGCGACTTGAGCGTGAGTGCTATGATGCCTGCACAAAAATACAAAGGAGCGTGACAACAGCCGCCAACAAACGTGTCGGCATGTCATTACGACAAATCTACCAATGACAAACATCTTTAAGAATCTAAATAATGAACTGCCTGTTTGGCAGTACATATGGCTTAGTGGTTTACCACTGTTATCGCTCGTGCAAGTGTACTGCAAGTGTACAGAACACGCTGTTTGTTGCCATACCCTTGTGCATGGGAACGTTTTACAGCGAAAGCTGTTATGAGATCACAACAAGGATCGCATGCACCGTAGTTGTCCGTCGTTCCCAGTGGCCATAACCGCTTTCGCACGAAACAGAAAAAAAAATTAAGTGAACAAAAACATGGACACGGAATGTGAACCAATATCCCCTGCATGCAAGCTCAGTGTTCTACCACAGAGTCACACTTGAGCTTGAAACTCCGGCTCAAACTGACACTAGGTAGGCTTGATGTCGGGAAAGGAATACACGTTAGTATGAGTATAAAGCGTTTTAGAACAGCCAAGGAACAACCAGGCATCAAACAATACGCATTGCGTAACGAGTGGACCGTCAAATGCCCTACCCATTACTAAAGCTTCAGAAATAATTTATCATCGTCAGCCACAGCATCACAGACTGCACAAAATTTCTTGCAAGTGCATAGTGGATACCGTGCTTCTCCGAAGAATCATGAAGGATGGCATAGTGAATGCCTTCCCACTAAACAAAAATTACAACTTATGGTATAGTTGATACACTGCAAGTGCGCTTGTAGCAGTTGCTCAGCGATTGTTTCAAAAAGGCTCTGAAAGTTCGCTCTTCCCGCTTTTGCTGAGACTGTGCTGCGCATTGTGCACAGGCCTGGCGTTTTTGATAAAGTGTGCATGGCTCGTAAAAATGAAGGCAACTCGCTGCTACCACGCTGGCCCAACAACGTACTCATTGCACTTTCCATGGTGTGGTGCCTAGCAAGCACGAAGAGAAAATGCCACTGCACAAGGGCAAATGCACGCGTATACGTGAAAGCGAGCGGTGCTGACGGAGTGAGCTTAGCAGGCGACGCACTGCATGCAACTAGCTAAGGACGCTCAGCTTGGCGATGCAGCAGTTAACGCGTACAGTGATCAATTTTCGAAGCAGTCAAATTTTAGTTTTGGAGCATTTTGGAGCAGGTAATCTTGCAAGTAGGAGTACCTTGGAGTAGTAAAATTTAATTTTGGAGCATTTTTGAACAGGTAATCTTGCTATAAGAAACATTTTACAGCAGTAAAATTTTTGTTTTGGAGCATGTAATTTTACTATTAGGAGCACTTTGGCATAGGTATGTATTCATAATGGAGCACTTCGGAGAAAAAACTACCTCAAACACTTTAATATTAAATGGACGCTGACCTGGAACAAAGAATCGTTTTAGAAGAAAAGGCTTTGAGAACCATTCTTTTCACTATCTCCGGTTTATTAATTGGGGAGAAAATATAGGTGAAACATTTATTTCTGAATTTCATGCTAAAATCTCTGCACGTGATATAAGAAATTTTAATGTGTATTTTTTTACTTTAACAGCATTCCCTCAAAGTAATATCCTGAGACTTAGTACGTTAAGTCTAGAGCCATCTCAGAAGTCAGTTTACTTAAGAGCTGTGTAGGACCTAGTAAAAAAAATGCCAAAATTTATAAAATCCCGGCAACTGATGCATTAATGCAACAATGTGAAGCCACCCGAATTTTCTTCTTGCATGCTTATTTTTTTGCTTACGAGTTCTCGTGGCAAGCATGATGATTTTGGAATTATGAAAGTGTGATTTACTACTGTCAAATCTCAGTAATTTGGATACGCTTAATTCAAACTTCCGGTTAATTAAAACTGACGCTATGGCCCCGTCAAAGCTGTGTGTATTCCAATGGGTGAAAGCGCTCTGTAATTCAAACGCGCAAGCACTTGCGACGGTTAATTCGAACATACCGCGCTCCGAAAATGCTCTCAGCACCACACCCAATCCCACGGCGGCACCTCCAACATCTCAACCCTGGGTGCGAAGAAGGAAGAGAAGAAAAGGAAAGGCTGGGGCGGAATGTTTGCTCTCTCAAATGCATACCTTGCAACTTGGCAACAAAGAAATTCGTAAAACCCCACAGTGGGGAGGGGGTTACTGACTTTTTTTTTTTAAGGTCCATTCGCTTCACCCTAGGTTCTCTGCCCCTTCTGCACCTCACTGCTTGATTATCAAAGGTACAGCAGCGCCCCTTGCATCACCGTCCTCAATTGTACAGGGTGTTGGTTAGGTCATGCCATAGTGCCGCAAACCCTTGCACCTTCTAGCGCAAGGGTGCAGCATTTTGGTGCAGCCTCAAACATTCCTGTCGCGCACTAGCAGACAACACCTTAAGACATGCCTGTGGTCGTAGATATCAACGATGTACCGACGAAAAAATTTTCGATTGTGGACGATCTTGGCGTGATACTCCTACCCGGCGACATCGAACTCTACGCTACTGCAGGTAATTGTGCAGACGTGATAGCATTCTAGAAAAGTCCGTTCAGATGCAAGATGGTGACATTTCTTCATTATTCATTGTTTTTCTTTTTTTCAGATGGGAAAACATTGCGGGTTGTATGCGCGTCGGGCGAACTTGCCACCACTAACTCGACAAACGGGCGTGCTAAACCTACAACGCCGCAAGACGACGCTATGCCGACAACGCAAGCGGCCACTGCAGCAGCTGTCGTGCTTTGTCAGAGCGCTGATCAAAGTCCTGCACGTCGCGACGACCCTGACAAAGTGCTGTGGAGCGGAGGAAAGCGAAGTTCCTTATTGATAAATATAAAGAGAATTTCAGCAACACTGGCAAAAAGGCGCTTGAACTCGTGGTCAAAATAACAGACTACAACTTCCTTGTAGTACCAAAGTGTCCAGTAACGATCGCTGCGCACCAGTTGAGCACCGATTTGGCACAACCTTGCATTCAGTTCATCGTCTTCGCTGACGGATTCAGCTATTTCCATACCAATGTGGAATTCCTTCATGCTGACAAATCAGGAGCTGAAAATCCGTGGGCACACAATACACATGACAACTTAAGTGGCCGAGCAGCAGACGACAGGTGTTCTCTGCTTGCACCTCAACTAGAGTGTACTAGAAGTGTTGAGTGGCGTGACTGCACCTTGCCCCCTGATCCCTTCCGCATTGCCCGTAGCGGTGGCGCAGCAGACGAATAGTACTGAAAGAGCCGCGCGCCGCGTGCAGAAACTGCTATGCGTTTCGGCTCCTCCATCGCTCTTTCTTGATGAAGATTTCTCCGCACCTGCCCATCTTTCATGTCTAGCCTATGATGCCATAACCCTTAAAGTATGACATGCCAATCTACTGAATTTGAGCTCTAAAAGGCCCTTGTGAGAGATCAAAATAATTCAGAAAGGGCGTGTCTTATATTGATTTCTTCTGTCTTATGATGTAACGCAGCTGCTTGAATGAGTAGATAGGCGGATCCGTGCAAATTCCAATTGACATTTTTTTTTGGGTCGACAGGATCTTGAAACAGTGAATTATCGATGCAACTTGGGCGTGCCTGCATATTCACTCGTGCACCATGGCGCGTTGCAAGTGCGTTCACTGATAAAGGTTCAGAAATGCATTAAACGCACTAAAAACAGGCAATTCCATGCTTTGACAGGCTACGGCGCATGCCCTCCCAGTGCAGACGTTTTTGAGATCTTCAGTACCATAGAACGACAGCCCTGCTGCTACTGTCACCCGCCGGAGAATCAGTCGGGATGCGGCGCGACTGCATTCGATTGATGCTAAGCGTTGGCGCTGCTTATGCACTGCATTTCCACCCTGAATATGGCTGTCCAGTGCTGAGACATCTAGCTACACCTGCTGCACCAGGTGCCGGCACTGGCTGCACCTTTTTGTATGCGGTGCCATGTTCTTTTTTTTTTTATCAAATAGACTATTGATTTGTAGCTGTGATAGACTTGCCTTTAGAGACAAGCATGATTACAATTTACCACCAAAGTCAAATCGGCACG